ATATAGGAAGCAGACCGCGTGGGGTGACGGTTTGGGTAGGAAATGAAAATGAAAATCGAGGTTGGGGGCAGGAAATTAAAATGAAATTGAAAATCGTGAGGGGGGATAGTAGTTTCCGCGCAAGAGACGCAGATCGAGGGTGCAATCGCGCGGATCGCTGACATGGCGGATGGTCAACCGTCACGTCCCCACGCGGTTCATTGGCGGCAGAAACACAAAACGCAGCCTCCCACTGCGATCCGTGTTTTAACCATTAGCAAGTGTTGCGATTTGTGTTTATTGGTGGTACGAATTGAATTTTTTATAAGGGTGTTATTTTTTTAATTTTTTAGTTTTTGGGTGGTATATTGGGAAAAATTATGTGATATGTCATTGTCTTAAGTGTGTATGGAATGAATGATCAACCATTGACTCGCTCCTACCGTCACTCTAGAAAATGGCCAAGTGTAACCACATCTTAAAGCGTAGTATAGCGGGTTTGGGTTTTAATGTCAACCCGGGTCCTAAGTGTGATGACTACTCCGTGAGTTCTTATTATTTAGCGGTGAAACTTTAGTGAAGGTCTAACAAGCAAAGCAAGTAAAAAGGTTGTTTTCAAGTCGAGAGAGGTCACCCGGATATGGTTTCCCCTATACTGCAGTTAAGCCGGATTGTAATTTACCAAGTTCAATTCCAATGATAGTTATACTACGGGAGGTTCTTAAACAGTCTGTAGTCTAGACTAAAGGTCTCCAGACCCTCTCAATCTGAGTCCCCTGCAGGCGACTAACCTCCACCGGAGTAAACAGATTGAGGCCCTAACGAACCAAACCTCCACTACCGAAGTAAATTCGGTACAGAATAGTGAATTGACTCATCGACTAAAGTCGTCAATTCACTACCTTCAATCAAGGATGCTCTATCAACCTAGGCAGATATTCTCATTCTAGGTCAAAGCAGAAATAACAGGAATTTGATCAGGATTCATACCATTCAACAAATCAAACCTCAATTGAATATAATCAAATCACTAAATCTGTAATTGGGTTCATACAATCAGACCTAACATACAAATCTAGGGTTCTTCATACCCAGGTGAATAAGAAAGTTACTCCATAGAGAGAGATGAGAAGTCTAGCTCAGATGCGGAAACCATACTGTGAAGGATGAGAATCTGCTTCTGGCACTCAATTAGCTCTTCTCCAAGCTCAAGCCGGGCTCCAATGGTGATGGAGATCGATCAAAGACACTTGTAGAATCAGGTTCGTCACTTTCTCTCTCTAGGTACCACTTTTTCTCTCTCAAACTCGGAACCCTTCACTTTTTCCTTCTTTTCCCTTAAGAAGCTGTCTGTCGCGATCTCCAGTCTGAATACCCGGTCGGATATTTTAAGTGGAGACCGGGTATTATCAAAACGCACCATCGGGGAACAGGGGAAAATCCCCGGTCAAGGCCAAGAATCCCCGACCGGGGATTTAAGCCTCACGAACGGGCCCCCTTCTGCTTCTCAAATGTCCAAAACGCATTTTCCCCGGTCTGCTCCAAATAATACCCTGTCGGGTATTCCTGCTCATGGCCGGGTATTTTGCTCCTCCAGCACACTTCGACCCAAGTGTGCTCCTTTCGACCCGAAACTTGTTTCTTCGCCTCGATGCCAACGCCAAGCCCTGAAATATGACATAAACGCACAACCTAGCGTGAAATCGGCTTAAAACACGAGAATCAACATCTCAAACGGCTCAAGAATAGGGGTAAAAACAAGTGCAATCAATGGTCTATCAACCATCTATACACGACGATGTGCAATGCCTGATACCTTAGATCATCGATGCTATAGACCATTATTATGGTTTGTTGATGCCCTAAATAGCTCATGTGATATCCATACTTCATTGATTGATTGATTAGTCTAGTGGTATGAAGCGAAAGCATGCATTAGCTAGTCATTATTCCTATTGCTACTGAAAACTCTATTATGATAGCCTTAGTCGAAGGGATATGGATACATGATAGAAGATGCATCGTTGCTCATCATTATTGATGTTGAAATGCATGACCATCTGGGATTAGATTTCTTATGAATGCATATCTATAATTTATGGTTAGAAAGCCTTGTGGAATACCACCCTAGACATTTCAAAGATTTTTATAACTTTGATTGCATTAATATCACTGCATACATGCACATCAAATTTTTGGCACCGTTGTTGGAGATTTCTAATAGTATATGAAAGGATCTAACCATCTTATGTCTCTTTATTATCGTTAGATTTAGATTATTTTGCATATTTTTCATTTATAAGTTCAACGTCAACTAGAAGAGAAATAGGAAACCACAAGATCATGATGAAGATCATCAAAGGAGGAGGAGCATCAAATTCACCTTTGTTGAGATCGAAAGAAGGAGCATCTAGCTCAAGATAAGAGGACACTTCAATCAACACTCATCTCGAGTTGGGAGAAGGAAACTGAGGAATATTGCAACTTTATTATAGAGAAGTAGCATCCTCTGAAGCATCATCGACATCAGCCACGATAGAAGGGGAGCGAAGAATGGTGATTCCGCGTACTCTTTATGATTGTTCAAGATCAAGTGCTTTGAACATCATTACGTTAGTATCGTGAATAAGTTACTTAATATTTTCACTAAAAGGTTAAACATGATATGATTGCAGGAATTACTTCGTAAGTTGGGAGTTATAACTCCATCCACAACTCGAAGAGGGGATGTGAACTGACTTAGAAATCAATAACTCATTGCTAATCGCACAAAAACTTATCGACTTAAGTAGTACCAATTTTGGGCGTTGTGGGGTGTGATTTCACTTCCCCACACGTAACCGTACACCCGAACCTAGATTCTATATTTCTAATTCGCAGACCAAGCCTCGGTTCTGACCTAAGGTTAGAGCCGACCAATGAGTGTTCGATCCACTCCAAGTAAGATCGATGGCGACTCCAAAAAGCGAAAGCGACGACCCTGATGACCCCCGGAGGGACGGTTGCGACATTTTGTATTAGTTAAAGACAACAAATTTGTTTAGTTTAATTGGTTATAATTCTTGTCTTTGATTGAAGAGACCGTGGTTCAAATCCTAGCATTGATATCTTTTTATACGAAAGAAAAAAAAATTGTATAGACGAAAATATCCTTCCTACTTTTATTCATTGCGGGAATTTTAAAATGTAGCAAATCAAACTCCTTAAAATGTATTATAAGTAGTGTAGAAGATGTAGAGATGTAGGTAGATTATAGATTCCCTTTCTCCAATTCACTTCCACAAAAAAAAAGGGTTGCTAAATACCGCCCTAGTTTTGAATTATCGCCTTAACTTAATTACATTTTTATCCTTCTACTTATTTACTATTTACACCTGCGATATGTATATAAATAAACAAAGATCACCTTCTCCATGGAAACAAGCGCCCTACCCCTCTTCGCCGCCGGTCATTAATCTCACGTCGGTGCCATCAACAGATGAGCGAAGAAGCTAACCGCTGGTACAGGAGTTTGGTTTTGAATGCCTCCGTTGAACCGGAGGGATATGTTGGCAACCCTGGAGAACTTGAACACTAATCAGAGAGTAAACTCTTCCACGGACGCCATGGAAGATCTCGTTATCTCCACAAAGTTGTTTGTTCTAATTGGCCACAATTCCTTACCTTACAAAAATGTGGAAATCCCTTAAGGCTCCAAGTCTGCAATTTATTTTACTAGCCACTGTTGTGGCTTACAAGCAATTGAAAGAACAAAAGCAGGTGGTTGAATTACTGATCATAATGACGATGGCTCCTAGCAAAAGGACGAGTTTGCCGGAAGAGATTCTGAAAGGGATTCAAAGTTGTAGCTTATTTGCAGAGTTGGATGATAGTTGGGTTTACACTGCCGGTGAATTAGAGGGAAAATGAGGGTAATTTGGTGATTTATATTTTAACTTTAGGGCGATTTGAATCATTTAAGGGCGACATTTAGCCATTCAGAAAAAAAGAGAAAACCCCAAAGAGACCAAAAAAAGTTGGCCTTTTAATTCCTCCCTTGTCCCGCTAATTTTCTTAATTCGGTCAATAAAGAAGACCCGGCCTGCTTGTTCTATTCTTTGGTTGTTGGGCCAAGAGTGAAACTCGGTTCAACTGCTTCTCTCAAATGCTATTGTCCGGCCTATGCCTCAGTATTTCTTATTTTTTCATCTAAAATATATCAAAATACTAACATATAATGTTAATGGCTTATGGTCATTCCAAGGTTAGTGAACTCTAAAACTAGCCATAATATGATCAAATATATAATGAATATGTTTTCAAACAATTATCATTGTATTTATCTTGGATTCGGAGAGTAAGTTATTTATGTAGCTCTTTCTAAATCCTCTCATTGATAGTGTTCAAACCCAACTACTTCCCTAAGTTGGTCGTGAGTTGGATTTCTGCTTTGTCCCATAAACTCTTAGCTTTATCCCATGAGACATTTGGATACTCATACATCGCTGAGATTTTAAGGTTAAGAAATAGTTCCAAGCTGAAGCAAAATTTATCTAGGCTTGACTTGATAATGCATAAAGGATTAGATCAGCATTAAAAAAACACATATGTGACAGACGACTCCAGATACGGTGAGTAACCCTTGGTTACTGACCAATGAGTAACTAAATGTCAACCATCAGATTTAACTGGGTCCAGAAAACCCATACTTAAAGGTGGAACGAGTTCGTTGTACTCTACAAAATGAAATCATTTTCAATATTTTTTGAGAAATTTTTTTGGGCTAAATTACACGTTTGGTCACTCAAATTATACAAATCTTTCACGTTTGCCACCCGAATTACTTTTCTTTCTTATTCGCCACTAACTTTACGAATCGTCTCACGATTGGTCACCGGCCGTTACACTCCGTTAAGTTTGTCCTACGTGGCAGTCAACTATAAAGTTTGACCGTTAACTAGATGACGAGGAAATTAAAAAAAAATAAAATTTTCTTTCCACCTCATCATTGCACTTATTTTGTCCATTGATTTGTACATCACCTTCCCACTTCCTTCCCCCAAGAGCTCCCTATATCTATCCCATCCGTCTCCTCCTTTCAGCTCCAACGCTTCACAACTCATTTCCCTTCTTTTCTTTCCCTCTTCCCCACGAAACCCTAGATTCAGAAACTTCTCCCTGAAATTGAAACTTCGCAAGCATAATTGATCAAAACCCACAAATCAAGCTAACACAATCGAAGATCGAACAAAAAATAACCACCAGAATCTCCCCATCAATATGACGAGTTGCGGATTGACGATGCCAGGAACCGACGCCGCTCTCTTTGGCGCCACACCTTCCTCCGCCAGATTACCCGACCCGGTTCTCCGGGTCATGCCTTCTCTGGGTCGCCCGTCAATGGTGTCCTTCAGGACCAGAGCCACCACCATGAACGGAACCGCCTGTACGGCTGCGGCGGAAATGAGCTTATACGATATGCTGGGGATACCAGAGTCGGTGAGCCTGAGAGATATTAAGATGGCGTACAAGCAGCTAGCGAGAAAGTACCACCCGGACGTCTCGCCGCCCGATCGGGTCGAGGAGTACACCCAGAGGTTCATTCGGGTCCAGGAGGCTTACGAGACGCTGTCGGATCCCCGGCAGAGGGCTCTCTACGATCGCGATATGGCCAGAGGGTTTCACCTCGCCTTCTCCGCTAGGAGACATTCTTCATACCATGACGACGAGGTAATTTTGTCTTCCATTCTTTCTCCCCCCGTCCCCTGTTTTTCCATCTCTGGTTTTGGGGAGTTTTGGGCTGATTGGGAATTGGGTGAACATACTTCATTTCTCTGCCAAGTCTCTTCGTTTGGTACCGAATTTGGAAGTTTTAGAATTCGTCTGTTATTAATTTACTTTTGGTACCAATTCCCCTGTTCTGTCTACTCTTTCAATAGAAGGTCTGAAGACCTATGCTTTTAGATACCCTTTTGCTTATTCTTGTTGAATGTCCACAGATTTCAAAGGAATTTCGGCTGATCCGATTTGGGTTTTTGATATTCTGCAGGAAATTGGTGAAAGAGGAGACTGGAGAAATCAGTGGCAGTCACAGGGAGAGCTCCGGGAGCCACTTGGAAGCGTAGTGAGCGACGATGGAGCCGATGGAACCGATGAGGTCGGGGCGGACGCCTTTGGACTTGATGTCGGAGATAGTCTGGTGATTGAACGATGGAGTGGATGGTGAGGGTGAGGGTGAGGATGATGAGCATTTGGATTTGCCCATTTTTATAATTTATTAAATTTTATTAAATTATTAATATGATAAATTATATAGACAAAATAAGTGCAATGATGAGGTGGAAAGAAATTTTATTTTTAATTTCCACGTCATCTAGTTAAAGGTCAAATTTTATAGTTGACTGCCACGTAGGACAAACTTAACGGAGTGTAACGGCCGGTGACCAACCGTGAAACAATTCGTAAAGTTAGTGGCGAATAAGAAAGAAAAGTAATTTGGGTGGCAAACGTGAAAGATTTGTATAATTTAAGTGACCAAATGTGTAATTTAGCCAAAAAAAATTCTTACCTCTCGTTACCAATTGCACACTCTGCAAACAAATGAGAAACCCCACGCAAACTAGCTCCAAGGACAGTGCAAACGCATCAAACGTCGTAAGTAAATGGGTGCAAAAGTTTGTAATCTAACACCTTCTCTAAGAAAAGTTTGTAATCTAACACCCGAATCAAATCTCATTGCTAATTAGGAAGTAATTAGTTTTCTAAACCAAGTGACATATTCCTCATGAAAGAGGGGAACTCGGGGATTTTCGCTCCATAAATAGCAGTCCCTGACCCATTATACAAACAATTCAGAGAGCAGAAATACGAGAGAGTGTTCTTAAGGCCTCTGATTCTCGCACAAACAGAGGATAAAGAGTTGTTTTTTTAATCCTGGAGGCGATTGATTGATAGTCTGTTGAACATAATACAAGACAATGTCACGACATTCTAAAGAAAGTGATCTTGTTCATGAGAAAATGATCTAGTTCGCGACTCCGACATATTCATGTTGAAAATGTAAAGTATTGGGTACCATAATGTAATTCGTTCAAGCTAGCCGTCGAGTTTTGCTATTTTGATCATGAATTAACAGAAGTTTGGGGCATGATACTATACCCTAACCTCTAATGGGTGAACCCCGTCACCAATTCTCTTACCCGAATCATAAGATTCATTTAATCTTTATATGAAAAGTAACAGTTCTGATTCGTCGAAAATATCAAAGTACAAATAATAGGTGTGAACGCAGGCGTAGCTTGTGTATCCTTTGCCATATATATAAGATTCATTACTTGACAATTCAATAACCCTACTTTTTCTAACAAATACAATATATTGAATTATAATGTAAATGTTTGTCCAAACAACCAATGCATAAGGCAATTTACTTTAGAATTAAGGCTACGATTTAAATATCCGTAAGTGATATGACGGAGTAGTGGCGGATCCATAAATTTTATATAGGGGTGTACTTTTCTAAAAATTAAATTATTAAACAAAAATATTTTATTTGCATGAAATACAACAAAGCACATGACGTGTTCGTATTTTAGAAAAATTATAAAATACAATCGTTGTCTAACAACTCTCGACATGTACTACTAGACAAGGGGAGCCTATGAATGAGTTTAATCGTTAGCTTTTAAAAATAATTGGAGATAATAATCAACTTTTTATTTACTATTATATTTGGATTTAAAATACAAGAACAAATGAGTTTTAGTCTAATGAAAAATATGTTTACTTATAGTAGCAACGTCCCAAGTTCAAATCAAATAAACTAACACTTAAATGTTTTTATTTACTCATATACAAATTACTACTAGGAGTTGGATAATCGTTTTTGCAAATTCTATCGGAGTCCCGCTACCACTTAAATATTTTTTTTATCCATATGTAAACTACTATCCGATGTTTAATAATCGTGTTCCCAAATTTTAGTGATGTCCCGAAACTCCCAAAATTTCATGGATCCATCACTGTGTTAAGAGGATGATCATTCATGTTCACCGCGGTCAACGTACCCTAACCTTTGCTAAAATGAATCGAACTTTTGGCACGCCGAATCTAACATTCTTTCCCAACAGATGCTACGTATTTGTTTCGAGGAACATATGCTATGTATCGGAAACGGGCGGCAGACAAATCAAATATACTAAGTGTGTGCTTTTCTGGTGCACTAAACCAACACCTAATCATCAACAATGCCAGGATTTTAAGAATCCATTTTCTTTCATTAATTAAGATAACATGACTCCGCAAGAACAATGAAAGATAGCCCAATATTTATATATATCCGTCAATTAGGTCTCGCCAAATCATTGCTGATGAATGATTAAATAGCCATACCAATTGCTGGCTTTGTATCTCATAGGGGCTCCATGCCATTCTTTCTTGCCCACTATTGGGCTTATCAGTGGATCATGAAAATTGACTATATTTGTAACACCTTTTTTGGATTGAACCAGTGGTGGTGGTGGTGGTGGAGCCTGGATTCAGGCTTGTGGATAATGATGCGTTCCGTAGGAGATAAGGATTAAGGAGTTGGTGAAGGCCGACAAATTGCTAACCAAAGTTGTAGTCGGAATTGACCAGAAATAAAAAGGTTGAAGTCCAAAGAATAAGGAAACCTCCTACCAAAAACAAAAGGAAGATACAAGAGGAAACTATTACTCTATTAGAGCAAAACGGAAACAAAAGAATAAAATACAAGTTGTTATGTTCAGTTGGTTTTGCTTGTAGTTTAGGATTTTGTGGTTCCATTCCACAATGGAAAAAAAGAAAAGAAATGCGGTGGTAGGTTTCCTGGCCCACCGTCAGGCCTCATTCGGTTGGTAGCTCGCTGGTGGGCGCATTTTATTCGGTGAAATAATCTGTCCGTATTTTTAAAGACATTTTATATTTTGGGTTATGGATGATTTTCATACATAAAATTTTATTATTTCATTTAAGAAAATAAATGACATCACCAAAGAACATTTACTTTTACCACAAAAATCTTATTTATCATATTCGGTGAATTCCAATATAATCTTCCTTACTCAAAATTATTCTCTTAGTTGAAAACCAAGTACAACCAATGATCGGGTGTAGTATAGTGAAAGTATGTAATAAAATTATCGAAATTCACATGTCTCTAGAAGTACCATTATTTTCCTTCGGTTTGTTATATAGCCACACAAGATTTGAAGATTACAAAACTAAACTACTCTAACAACTACACTAGCTAATTATAAGTTGGGAGCTCACTTAGGCATTGAATCCCTCTAGCCACTAACCGGATCGATGTTGAAGTTTCTAACTTGCCTACTCAAGATTTATACTGCAGAGAGTCCTACGCCCGCTTGAACTCCATATACGAGTTATCCAAACTCACCTAGCATGAACCATCCGGAGGGAGAGTTTCCACATTCGACAAAATAGAACACCTATGACATGCAATTTAGACTCCCATTAGAGGATCGTGATCCAATACGACATTGTAGTCCGACATCATGCTTGATCAATCGACCCACAATGAAGAATTGAAGAATGCCCTTATAATCAATCTAATCGAATATTCTCTACCTTAGGTTGATAGCCCCAAATTGGGAAGTATGATCAATACCCATACAATTTCATGATAATAGCTCAATTCAATATGTAATCAAGAGTGTAATGAAGCATAGGAATCATTCAAACATTAATTCCAATCATACAAAACTAGAACATGGCTAGGATTCATCAAAACCTAACTGAGCAAGAACTAATCCATAGAGAGGAGAAATAATATCGTATAAAGCTCAAGATCTTCAATTTGCATCTTCTAGGCCCGATCTTCTAGCTCCAGTGGGTTGGGTACCTCCAAAAAAGCTCCAAGAACCATCATATGTCGTTTTCCCTATCTTTGGAATGCCCCTTTGGTGTTTTAGGTTGAAAACCCAACTCTCCTTCTCTTAAACCCCGCAACAACCCATTTAAACGTGAGCAGTGTGCAGGTCACAGCCTAGGTCACGAGCGCGACACATGTCGTGACTTGTGCAAAATGCATCAATTTGCTTCGTTTTTATGTGTAACTCACGATTTTGTGTCAGAAGTCACAGCCAGATCATGACTTATGCAAATGCCCGCAAACCGTGGTTTTGCTATTCCCTTTTTGCGCATCTAATTGCTTGTTTGTCGAGTGTCACCCCCTAGGTTGTGACTTCTGGACTCAACCCGTGGCTTGTGCATACCCTCTACTTTTTGGCTCGTTTTGACTTCCAAATGTCCCGAAACTTGCTCTTAAACTTCACCCACGTACTAGGACCTGAAATGTGACAACAATAAAACACAATATAGCGTAAAATAGGTCAAGAAAGGAGTATTTCAAAGCAAATCAGTCAAGAAATGAGGGACTAAACCTGTATAATTAAGTCCGAATCAAATTCCCCACGCTTAACCGTTTGCTTGTCCCCAAAGCCTGAAGTGAGAATGGAAGGTAGTAGGAGAAGGGTTGGATGGAAGATATCATGAACTCCCTTTACACAAGTTGTTCCCAAAGCGCACTCCCACCCTAGGCTCGATCTATGGCGGCCGACCTAAGTTAGTGATAGGTTGTCACACATTTGAGATACACAAGAGCCTGTCTCTCGACTTGAGTAGAAGAAACAGTCTCTTAGGAGTGGTGTAAGGGAGGATGGGGAGTAGTAGGTGAAGGTTTATAAATAATGTCCTTGTCTCCCTTACACATCCTCAAAGCGCAAAACGATTTTAGATAAATTCTCCGATGGACTCACTAAGCACTATGTCTATTTGCCACAATACGTGAGACACTCTTTTTCACATTCAAAGAACATTAAAAAAATGGAGCACATTTATGAAAATAAATTTCAAATCCACAAGGGTAGAGTAGAGAGTTACCACACAAATGTCCTAACTCACTAATCAACAACATCAACCAACAAAAGGTGGAGGTTAGATTTCTCATGGACCGACATCCTCCATAGCGCTACACCATCCTCCCTAGATTGCACCCTATCATGTCAGCTAACAATTCAAAGCACATTGATAGGTTAATTCATAGGACGATGTAATTAGAGCCCTCAAATTTATAAAAAATTAGGCATAAAATACTTGGCTACGAGCACTCACATTCACACCATTCATTCACACACACATATAATGGAACACCCTCAC